GTGGTATTGCACCGGGCGAGCCGGCCCATTCGTGCGAAGATGTTAAAGCGGGCTCTACCACTGTAAAAAGATTTGCCTGTCCATTTTCCTAAGTCCATGCACATCAATAACTTCTGTAATGATTAGGCATTGCGGTCGATGTTTGCCGACCGCACTCTAATTGGCTTTTGCAGTAAACAGTGAGGCGTTGTATGGAACAATTATAGAGCAATAAATTACAGTACTTATAGCTTTCGGAAATTATACTACAAGTCTGTAGAGTGCAAGTTATAGACCACTTTATATACTAGCTCTTGCTTGCGACTTCGCCCGCGTGGAGAAAATTGTAAATTGTCTGATAACAATCGAACTTCTAAAATATGTGATGGAAGTATTGGGTTTTGTTAGCTTATCTGAGAGTGACGTCGTTTTTAGCTATCTGAGCCTCTATCAGCCAGGTGGGACAGGACCTTAATATTGTAGGATGTTTAGGTTCCGATTTTTACATATATTTAATTTCGTATGACTGTTATAAAAGTTAGAAAGATTATTTTGTGAAAATGTTGAATTATTATAGTTTTGAAACTGCTTCCTTTATTGCATATAATTATTCTAACTTTGGTTTATGTTAGTGAAGAGTGAGTCAGCAGATTCCAGTCAAACAAATGTTAGCTTAGGATCGGGAACAGGATGTAATAAAATCATGCTTAAATATTAAAGAGTTCTAACTTTAACAAATTAATCGAGTTTTAACTTATTTAAGTAAATATTTAAATTTTAAATATGTTTTGATTATCGTTTATCACTATTTAAAGTACTTTATGCATAATTATTTTTAATCTATACTATTATAATAAAGCGTAAACACACACTTCTTTGTTGCCTAAGATGTCAGCAATTACAGCATATTTTTGAATAACTCTTTTTTTAATAAAAAGCCCTACACCTACGTCACGCTTTAGGCTTTATATTTTCACGCCATTAAACTTAGGCGTAAATATTTTGGGTAAAAACCCTAATGTGGGAAAGATACCATAAGTTGCTA